GCGCGAAAGGGCACGGAAATGCGGTTCGACAGAGTCGCCACCGAACTTTATTTTTCCCGAATAAACGGGAGAGGAAAATATCGAGAAAACCTCTTGAAAACGAAAGGACAGGAACAGGGCTGTCGCAACCAAGTTCCGGGTTCGGGAGTCGGTTACGTGAGGGGAAGGTATTAGCACCCCTCACGTCCGTCGTACTCGACGGGAACCTCTTAAGGTAATTGTGGGGAGTGTTGTTTAGGTTTACTGGTTTTCTTCTCATTGGTAAAGGTAGAATTGGTAGGTTTTAAAAGGTTTAAAGACGCAAGGGAGAGATGGGTGGTTAGAAGATAGGGTGCTCGCCAAGGATTGGGGCCCTTGTGCCTACGTATGCTCATTCGGACGAGAATGAGAAATCAGAGCGTCGTAGTTCGACTACGGGAAAGGATGGGGGAAAATAGAAGGTGGATAGAAGTGTGCTCGCCAAGATCATCGCAATCTTGTGCCTACGTATCTTATATTCAAGAATGAATAAAGAATCAGAGCGTCCGTAGTTCGTGGTAACAACCACGAAAAGAAAAGGTTGAATGAGTTGGAAGTTTGAGAAAAAAGACGAAAGAGTGACTGACAAACAACCTAAGGGCGTGCCTCAAGAGCTTGTCATTCAAGAATTCAAGGAATGCGAGATCCCAAGAACTCAGTTCTTTCGGAAATTGGGTTGAATGAGTTGAAGATAAGAGTTGGATATTTTGAAAACGAAAGAATGAACTAACAACAACTCGGGGGCGCGCCCAAGAGTTACTCGTTCGAATATTCAAAGAATGCTAGATTCTAAGAATATCCCTCTTTCGTAAGTTTAAAAAATGTGTTTGTGAAAGGATCGAATCGAAGAATGGCATGCGAGGCCAAAAGGGAATTGTTTTGAACTGGTTCGACGACGTGTCGAAGATTTGATTGAAGATGGAACCGGCTTGACGACGTGTCAAGGGTTAGGATTGTGAGAAACAATATTAGTCCCTGAGGGTGCTCCTAATATCGAGACCACGAGGAATTGTGAAAGAAATGGGTTGCGAATGCGGACGAGCAATCGACTTAGGAGAACGTTGGAAGATGTTTGAGTTTGAAAAAAGTCGAAAGGTTGAGTGAATAACAACCCAAAGGGCGTGCCTCGAGAGCTATTCACTCGAAAATTCAAGGAATGCTAGACTCCAAGAACCTCCTTCTTTCGAAGTGTGAATCGAAAAAAGATATTTAAAAAGGTCGAAAGATTGAATGAATAATAACTCAAAGGGCGTGCCTCGGGAATTATTCACTCGAAAATTCAAGGAATGCTAGACTCCAAGAACCTCCTTCTTTCGATGTTTGATCGAAAAAAATGTTTGAAAAAGATTTGAAGTGAAATGAGGTAGAAAAATAATTTGAGGTACAAGATGTGAGGACATGAGATTGGATTTGAAAATGAGAGAAATGACAATTATTTGATAAATGAGACGTAGGCCTCACAACCAATTAATTGGGGTATTATCGAAATGCTAGATCTCGACGACACCTTTTTCATTTGGAGAATGTTTGAATGAACGATAGAAATATCACACAGAATGCTTGATTCCTATAATATTCCTTTGTCCAAAATAGTGTATTAAAACGAAAAGGTTGAATAATACATTATTTAAGGTGTACACCTCGCTAATGATCATCCAAAAATCCAAGAAATGCTAGACTTCAAAGATTTAATTGATAAAGATAAGTTGGATAAAGATTAGCAAAAATATTAGTTTTGAGGATGGTTTTGATTTAATTTAAGAAATATTGTTTGAATAAACAATGAAAATATCACAAAGAGTGCTAGACTCCTATGATATATCTTCGTCCAAAAGAGCGTATAAAAATGAGAAATTGAATAATACATTATTTAAGGTGTACACCTTGATAATGATTGTCCAAAAATTCAAGAAGTGCTAGACTTCAAGAATTTAGTTTTCTCATGATTTGATTTTAGAAAATAATTTAGTATTAAAATATATACTAAAATAGGATTAAGAAAAAATAGTATCAATTTTTTTAAAAATAAAATTCGGAAATAGTTTAAGGTTTTATTTAGAAAATAATTTGGATATGTTAAAACAAACTACCTATTAATAAAGAAAAAATAACTGTAATTAGTAAAATGAAAAAATATTTTTTCAGCCTAAAACAAACAACTTTAGTTACTTCAAACACCCAAAGCCATGTATATGATCTTTATGACTAACAGTAAATTCATTCCACTTGATAACAATTTTAACATGATTAAGTAGCTCATTCATAACTTATGGATTCAACACTAATTAATAAATTTAAAACTAAATTATTTATTAATCTATAATAGCAGTTAGTTTATTAATTTAGAACTATATTACACCACAACAGCTAACCGTAACTTCTATTCCAACAATAACCGACGCTTTGGTAAAAAATGAATCATGATAACAATTCCAGCATCAGAGTTTAGTCCTCAAAATATACATACAACACACCCACATAGTTTAATCTCTCACATATTATCACAAACTTTAAAAAGGTAAAACTAAAAGTTTAGTAATCAATTTACAGAATTCAGAATTTGTTCATAATATCCAGGACAACATAATTCAACGCAGCACCATAACAACATACCAGAATTTATTCACAAACCGCACATCTATACCGCAATTGAAATCGACGACACCAATAACAAAACTATACGAAATGACAGCATAAGCACATCACCACCACAATGAAGATATTGTAACAAAAATAGAACAGTCAGTGTAAAGCAATGATATTGATATGAGAAAAATAGAACTGCGACCAAACATAAGCATTGGCAAAATACTGTCTTATGGCATCTATAAACCAGAAAAATTAACACCAATGGAAACCATGACCGTAATATCCGCAACAGATACGAACAACATACGCAGCAGGTCCCAAATCAATTCCATGCGCAAATTAAAGCAAACCGACATCGAGTCAATGTATCAACAACAGAACAATTTAAACTTTAACAAACTAAAAAACAACAGGATTATCACAGGGAGCATGGTCCATTAAACAAATGAGCTCATGGTGCTGTAAAAAATGCACGCATACAGACCGAAGTTTGAACCCGGATAATCAACATCAATAAACCCCTGAATTGTTCGCATACAAAACTTGGCAATTAATACATCAACCTGCGTTTATTCAACTTAACACCGTAAAACCGAAATGCCTTACATACCACAGTAACACAACATGTTATATTTACACAGTAAGCACACACAGAAACTCCATAAGGACATCAAATGCACGTAGTAGCATAAGCAAACACATTGAAACTCAACGCGCGTCGATAAACAACAAACAGCTCAGCAATTGGTAAACCAAACATTAAACAAAGTCAAGCTAAAACACGGATCATATACGTAACCAGAGTAATCCTAATATTCGAAGCAAAATAGAGAACCGAATCCCCAAAAAATGGATGATACCATAGTTTCACAAGGCCAATTCAACACCACTGTAAACAACTAGTTCGATATTAGCTACACTATACAAGGAGCATCAGGATCGAAACGAAATTGGAATCATAACTAGTATGACAAAAACCAAACAAAATTGCTTGAACCAATACCATAAAAAACCTGTTTTTTAACTCAATCACTACACACACGATTCTTGACAAATCATCTATCAGAACTAGCAATACAAAATCAGTTCTATCCAGAAACAAATCCAACCAACAACTTGCATTATGTGATAAATTTCAAATAGAGACAAAATGGAGCTCGCGAGGAAATGTACAGTCAAGGATAACAGAACCTAATACCTCCTGTTGTGATTTCGCTTCTAAAATACCGGCTTAATAATGAACGATATACCCTTTAGCCTCGAACCTCCGTGTTGACTTTGCGATGCCGAAACCCTTTCCAAACTAGTGTATCGTTCTGGTTTTTGCTGGATTCATGGATACAAAGGGTTTGTTGCTACTGGAGCTGTGAGCCATCACCGTAGATGTCGTTATTACTTGAGTTCAACGCGAGATGCGACCTCTTTGTGACTTTGAGTTACGGAAGGCCACCGTAGTTTGTTCTTGAAAGAGTACTTATCTTCGACGAAAGCGGGGTGGAGCAAACGGAAGGTGCTTGCTGAAAATAATGGCTATGAAAGTTATGGTGGCGGAGTGTGATTAAAGGTGAGTTGAAGATGACAATGGTGTCGGATTTAGAGTAAGGAGAAAGTATTTTGGATGAGGGTTTGAGGTTTGAAGGTGGTGGTGCATTTCACAGTGGTAAAAATGGGGGAATGAGAGAGGCAATGAAGATTGTCGGTGACGAAAAAAGCTTGCTGAAAATGGGCGCCGTTTTGAGGTTTGAAAGATGTCGATGATGATGATGGTGAGAGGTAGATTTTGCAACTAGGGTTTCAGAGCGAATTGGGATGCCGTGAACAGTGTCTTTTTCCCTTTCCATCAGTCTTCCCCTTCCTTTAAATACAAAGAGCAGTAAACCCTAACGGGCTACCGAAACAACCATGGGCCTACCGCCCTTTCTCCATGTCCAAACCCTTCTTCGTTATCTTCTTTTTTCTTTTTATTATTTTTTTCAAATTAATTAATTATTAAAACAATAAACAGTTAATATAAATTAACATGGATGTAATTAAATAATATATAACTATTAACAATAATTACTAAATAGATATTAACAAATATAATAACAACAAATAAATGTTAAAAAAAGTTAATTAAATAAAAATTGACAAATATATACAAAATATTTATTATTATTTAGGAATATATTTTTTTAAAAGAAAAAGATTAGGAAATTAAAAAAAAGAAATAATAGTCACAAAAAAACTCCTACACCACGTGTCACACTTTAATTGGACAGAAATGGATAAAATTTGGAAAACGCCCAATTGCGGGTGGACACGTGTCTAAACGACGTGAAACAATAAAATGCGAAAAATATCTACAAAAGGGTAGGACAAATTTAGGGTATGACACTAACGTGAGAAATATCATGGACATGAGAGCTACATATGGAGGGTAAGCATCCATTTTAAACTTCTTTTAGGTTTAATACTAATAAAAGGTAACAACTATCATTAACCATGAAGGGCTATTATCAAAGTGATGTTATGTGTGTAGATTTGCAGCAGCTTTGAAGGATCTTCCACTATGGGTATTTAATGTGGTGAATGTTGATTATGGAGATACACTTCCAATCATTTATGAGCGAGGTCTTATTAGAATGTACCATGATTGGTGTGAATCCTTCAACACATACCCAAGAACTTATGATCTATTGCATGCCAATAAAATTTTCTCAAATTTAAAGACTAGGTATTTATTTTTCTACTATTTTTTGAAGGGTTGAGAAATTGCACCATATTAATTTGGTTTCTTTATATTATTTTGACTTCTCAGATGCAAACTGATTCCTGCTATAGCAGAGGTGGATAAAATACTTAGACCAGGTGGTCATTTGGTTGTCCGTGATGAGCTTAGTGTTGTTGATGAAGTGGAGAATTTGGTAAAATCTCTAAACTGGGAAATAACCTTCAAAACTTCAAAAAACCAAGAGGGTTCGCTCTGTGCAAAGAAAAGCTTCTGGCGACCCGATTCTTAATGTTCATGTTCAATTAGATTAATATTTTCAAACAAGCAAAGCACTTGCTATGATATGCGATTCATTATGTCTTAGACCTTTAATGGCTACAATAGTTTTTCAGAAAACTCCACTCTTCTGTTGATGTACTTGTCGCAACTGCGAAAAAACACCCGGCGGAAAACAGAAGAGTCGCCACCTTTTGTTATTTATCCCAAAGAGAGGGAAAGGAAATGATCGGAAAAACCTGACGAAAAGGGAAAAGACAAGGTCATCGCAACCAGGTCTGGATTCAGGAGTCGGTTACGCAAGGGGAAGGTATGAGCGCCCCTCACGTCCATCGTACTCGAAGGGATCCACGCTTATGTTGTCTATCTAAAAGGGTAATCATCTATCTAGCTAAAGGCCAAGGGACAAAAGAAAAATAAAATAGACTCGGCAGAGCATCGCCGCTCTGTGCCTACGTATTCCCTCGTGCAATGGGAAAGTCAGAGTCAACGTAGTTCGGCTAACTACGGGTGAAAGGGGGAAAGGTTGCTCTCCAAGACATCGCGTCTTGTGCCTACGTACTTTCATCTGGTATGAAAGATCAGAGCAAACATAGTTCGGGCTAAAAAGACCACAGGTTGGTTCAAAAGTTTTTTAGGCCTGAGTAGGGTTAACAAGTAGTTCTAGCAGTTGGTGTATGCAGCTCGACCATTGGAGACTTAGGCGTTACCGTTTGCGGTAGAACTAAAAGTTAACAACACTCTTTTATCTGAAAATATTTTCCTGATTAAGAACCCCAAAGGGTGAAAAATGTTTGAAGTGTTTTTGTGTTTTTTAGAGAAGAAGTGTTTTGAGTTTGATTTGTAACTCATGTCGCACTAGAGACTATGACCTAAGAGCGAATGCGTCGTATATCACCCAAAGGGTGTACACTAAACACTATAGGTCATTGAGAGGAAGCCCCTCAATCACCATTTCTCAAGTAGCTTAAGACTCGTAGCGTACAACACTTGTCATTCTTTATTAGGTGTTTTATGAATGTTTGAAGATGAGAAGAGAAGAAAGGACCACTAATGGGAGACTAAATCAATCCTAAAAGTTGTCATGCAAAGTGGACTTAGAGTTGGGATACAAAAGGGAACTACCTAATGTTATTATACATGGTTAAACACCTAATGTCTATCATAACCTCTCTTGAAGAACAAAGATTAGAGATCCTAAGGGAAGGAAGACAAAAGAAGAAGAAGAAGAAAGAACATAAAAATGCAAGAATGCAAACATAGAATGCACAAGTAAAATGAAAGTGAGGGAGGAAATATGTGTGGGACAGTAGCCTCCACAAGCTCATCTCAACCTCAATCATGCATATGAGAATGCAAAAGAAGAAGAGAGAAAGAAATGCACAAGATGAGATCAAACAACAAGGAAAAACCACACAAAAATGCACCAAAAGTGGGATGAAATGACCTAAGTCAAACAACATCAACCACAAGTGCCAAAAGCCAAACCAAATGAAAGGAAAAGAAGCTCAAAATAAAAGTGAGGATTGGAGGCTATATGAGGGCAGCAAGGAACTCATAATATGCACTCAACCATAAGCATCACTAACCAAAAGCAAAGAAGCACAAATAACACAAAGAAAGTCCTCAAGGATTCATCACTTTAGGTATGCTTCAAATACCTCCAAAGGAGGGACCAAGCCACCTTAAATGATACTCCGAGGTCATGGGACAGAATGGGAGATGAGATAAGAGAGCTCAAAAGAAAAAGCAAACACATCCAAAGAGAATGCAAGCATAAACATAAAGGAATGCAAGCAAAGCACACATGGAAACCCAAAAGAAAACAACCAAATGAGCAAGCAAAACATAATGTCATGACCTAAAAAAAGAGCAAGCATCATCCTTAACATGTTAGTAACATAAATCAAAGGCACTGAGGGCTCAAAGGATCCCTAAATGTCATATCCAAGACAAATTAGGTCAATGTGTATGTATGAACCTCCCTTGGAGGTAACTTGACTTGCAAGTCACCTCAAAATTAGGAAAATGGTTCAAAAATAACCAAATAAAATGTACAAAGTCCATAAACATGTTGGCAAACAAAAGCCAAGAGATCACAATCAAAATCAATTCACAATACCACCAAAGAAATTGATTCACAAGGGTGTCCCATTGTGAATGAAGATTGTCGAGGGTCAAATGAAATGCACTCAAAGTCAACCAAACAGGGGCAAAATAGTCCTCAAAAATTCATCAACTCATCATGAATATGAGGATTAATTTTTAGTCATTGGATCAAAAGGAGATGGAAGAAACAAAACAAAAACAAACACATGTTAAAAATTAATCCAAACAAAATAACTCCAATTAACAATTCCTTTTTTAAATGAAAAATAATCCAAAAAAATAAAATAAAAATTCTAAAAATAAAAGGACATTTCAAATTGCCCAAAAATATTTTTGGGGAATTTTATTAATTGGAGAACTATTTTTAATTGAATTAATTCTAAACCAAAACAAAAATAAAAAGAAAAAGAAAAATAAATAAACAAACTCATGGTGCAAACAGCAACAGAAACATGTGTAAAAGTTTGGGCCAGGCGTGAGGGGGGTGCCAAAAGCAAGGAAGCCCAATCCAAATAAACTCAGTCAACCAGCGAGAAACAATCTCAGCCACACAATGCCCATACCAGTCAAACAATCCGTGGGTCCAGAACATGTCACGCGTACTTCAAAATAAAAATAAAAACCAAACAAAATCACAGCCACAAGATTAAGTCCAGTCAAACGATCAAACGGTGGAGGGACGAGCTAGTGAAACGCACCGTTTCACTTAATGCTCAGTCAACCAAATTCTGGCCTTACGTTGTGATTACTAAACAACCATCCAACGACCATCAGGCTACCACGTAATTAATGAAACTCAACACAAAAATGAGATTAAAACATGACCATCACATCTGGTCACAGTCAAACAAAACAACAAAGATCCAACGGACACGAGCAAGCCACACAATCATCTTCAACATTTAAACCTGAAACAAAGAAGGGAAAACTAGACGGTGGCCGGATTCCCTCCGGTCATCTTCTCCGGCCACGATGAACAGTGGCCACTCAAAAAAACTCATGAAACATAAAAATTCTTACACCAATCGATTCTTCATGCTTCACACAATTCAAATCCAAAGTTCAATTTAATTTCCAGTCCATGAATAAAGCAAATAGAAGATCAACAGTTTGGAGCTCAAATCACAAATCATCACCAATGCCAGCCAATTTTTGTTAGAAATGATATACACAGTTACTAGGTCATTATCATGCAAGAATGACATTCAATTGGATCAGAAATAGAGAGAAAGTTTGAATTGAAGGTTACCTAGTGGAGAGCTTCCACTGAGCCTTCAAACCTTGATGAAACTGCTAGAAATAAACCAGAATCACTCCACAATCTTCCCTGAAGCTTTAGATGCATTTGATTTGCCTTGAATCTTGATGAATCTCCAAATTCGAATTTCACTTTTATCTTACTTTCTCCCACTGCTTTCTCTCTCAATTTTCATCCAAAATTTGTTCTGATGATTTGTGAATGATCCTGAAGTTAAATATGATGGATATTGATTACTTTGAAGCCCAATTAAAGCTTGCTTAGCCCAATTGGAAATCCAAAAAAAAAATGCACACGGAGCCTTCAAAATGCACACAAAAAGGGAGTTGTTAGGCTTGGAAATTCACTCATTCAGCTTGCTGGTAGCGTGAATTGATCAAGTGGCCAAGAATTGTCCCTCAATTTAATCTTGTGGTAGGATTTACATTTGTTACTTTCACTTGAAGTAAGCTTGAAAATGGCATGGTTTTGGACCTTAACTTGCAATTCTAAAAATGCCATTGTGTTTAGAATATGATTTGCACTCAAAATATGCACAAACTTGCACAAAGTTGATCCAATATGATTTAATTTGATTTTTGGGTTTTTAATGACTTTTTCATGAAATTTCTTCCATCAATCCTTCAATCCAAGCTTCAACCATGACATGAGATGGTTTGGTAATGAAATTTAACCCATTTGGAGCAAGTTTCATGTTGATAAATATTTCATTTGAAGTGTGCAAGATAGTGAAATGGACCTATAATGAAAATGACCTGTAATCTTACTTTCCCAAAATACCCCTGCCTTGTAAGCCTCATAACTTGAGTTCTACAAATCATATGAAAGAGTTCTAGTACTCTTTGGAAAAATGAGATCATGAGGAATAACTTTCATGTTTGGGTCAAAGTGAGGAGAAACATCCTTCTAGGTAAAAAATGGCTTGGAAGTTGGTTGACTTTTGTTGACCAAAATCACATTCATCTGATGACCTGTAACTTGTCAGCATCATAACTTGAGTTCTAGAAATTGTAGAAGCAAGCTTCATCTCAAAGTTTTGATGACGTCAACATCAAGATCAAGAATAATTCATCTGTGCAAAAAGGCAAACACTTTCAAAAGACCAAGATCAAGTGGAATGGAAGTGATCAACATTCAAAGCTTCATGAACATTGGACTGATCAACTTTCAAAGTTTTGGACACAAGCTATGGTATATCAAAATCCATTAATTTAATTAATATACAAGTGTTCAACATCTTTATCATTTGATCACATTGCATTAGCATACGTTTTAAACTATTAGAATTGGTATAACACTATTTTTATAAGCATTTTTCTGAAAAATAGCAGTGTTAACCGATTAACCATATAGGTTAACCGGTTAACCATTTCAAAATTTGAATATTTTGGTATAACGTTCAAGTGTTAACCGATTAACCATATAGGTTAACCGATTAACACTGAACGTATTTTGAAAAATGACCTTGTTTCAAGTTCAAAAATGGTTTGAAAATTATACCAGTTCATATTTTGAATTATACTCAAATATACCTGTTGGAAAAGGTGTGTTTACACATATAAATTCTGAGTTTTTCAAATTGAAAAACAATCCTCCAATAATCAATTTCAAAACAATTCTTTGAATCAAATTCACCACTTTCAAAT